TCCAGAGAGGGAGAGTAGTGCTGGGCACCCTGGCCACAAATTTGGAGTAGAGATTAAAAGGTGCAGGCAGAGAGGTGTCTGGACAAGGAGAGGCAGAGGACAGCTCTTGGAGGCCAAACGTTAATCTTTGGTCCTCACAGGCACAGTAGCATCCAGGGGGACTGGCATAGAGGGGCTCTACCTCTGTTTCCCCTAGCCCAGGTAGGTATACCTGAGTCAGGACAAAAAAAAGGCCACTATTCTGGTCTATAACTGGCTTTTACAGCAAGGAACACATGGACGGGCAACGCATGTCAAAAAAGAAAGGAAAGTTCCCAGCTCAACTTGCCAGCCAGCTTACTAACAACCGAATTAACCTGTCTAACCGTATATGTTAAAAACAGGGGTTTAGTTTGCACACATTTGGAAATACATACGTAAGCCACAGAGCCACATCACGGCACCCCGATAATCTGTGGTCCTAAATCTACAAATTTTGAGAGCCCCCATAGTAGAGGCACATGCATTTAATGGATAGACCCTTCTCTTCCATTCATCAGCGCAGACAGAGCTGCACCTGCGGAGAAAGGTAATGTCTGACTCTGATGTCTCCTGTCTGTGTGACTTGGCTGGCCATTCATTATATGTGCAATATGTTAGTGAGTGATGACATCGTCACGATCCCACAGCCTTCTCTTCTATTGCCTGCTGATCTGTGTCAATGTTAGTGGTGGTGTGTTGTGACGGATCTGTCTCTGTTTGGGATCCCTCGGTTCAGTGTGTGTGTGTGTGTGTATCCGTGTGTCCGTGTCCAGCATTTTATTCCCCCCTCCATTACCTAGGGAATTCAAGCCTGGGATCTGTCAGAGTGTGGACCCATCATCCTCCATTCATTGCTGCTGCCAACCACAGATGCGGTCCGTCTGTGACACTGATTTTTGTGTTTATTATTGGTGCTGATGGCATCTTATGGCACTTAATTTTGCAAATTAAAAGAAATTTATCAGTGTCATGTTTTGTTGATTTAATATTTTCTGTTTTAAATTTTTTTTTTTTTTTTTAAGTTGGGTGCAAATAGCTGGTCTTGCTTAGGGCGCAAAATTGGCTAACACTGGCCCTGCTGACACCTTGCACACAGGAGGTGTGGAGAAACAGGAACTGTGTGTCTTGTGTTGACTGCATGTCTCCCTGCATGTGTGGGGCAGTGGGAGATGTGCGGGAATGGAAGTAGAAGTCAGGTGTTGTGACAGGCCTCTTCCAAACAGACCAGATTTATTGGCACAAGGTCCCCCATTCCACCATTCTTAGTTGCTGGTTTTAATGGCATGGTTGTTAAAACCCAGGTATTGAAGGTTAGAGGTGTGTCTGATACAAGGAAATATACCTTCCTCCTACAAGATCTATCATCACACATAGATTCTTCATCTGTTGTGAGGAAAGACGTCTGAATACCAGGGAATACTCTCTACTCGTAATCTGGTCTCGACCAACACTTGTCCTTGAGAACCATTAAGGCTTCACAGTCCCTTATCAGGACCTTTTTACAAGGTGTTGCTCATGTAAACCACCCAATTCAACCTCCTGTGTCACCTTGGGATCCGAACCTGGTGCTTTGCTCCAGAGACCCACCTTTGATCTGACTAGAAAGATCCCTGTGTAAGATCTCACATGTAAGGTTGCCTTCCTTGTGACCAATACTTCAGTTAGGCATGTTTCTGAGCTAGCAGCCCTTTCTTGTAGGAGCTTTTGCTTATATTGTACAAGGACAAGGTGGTCTTGAAACCAAAACCTTTTTCTAATCAAGTAGGTTTTTTTCTTTTACTTCAGTGAGGATATTATCCTTCCATCCCTGTGTCCTGCCCCAAAACACACCAAGGATATTGTCTTACACCAGGGCTTAAAATTTCAAGTCCTGAGCTGCTAGCCAGGCCTTAAGAGTTACTCGCCACCAACAAACACACACAAACAGACACCTGTACACACACACACACACACACAGACATGTACATACATACACACACAGAAACATGTACACACACACACACACACACATATACACACACAGGCACGTACAGACATGCATACACACAGATACATGTACAGTGGGGATCGAAAGTTTGGGCACCCCAGCTAAAAATTTGTATTAATGTGCATAAAGAAGCCAAGGAAAGATGGAAAAATCTCCAAAAGGCATCAAATTACAGATTAGACATTCTTATAATATGTCAACAAAAGTTAGATTTTATTTCCATCATTTACACTTTCAAAATAACAGAAAACAAAAAAATGGCGTCTGCAAAAGTTTGGGCACCCTGCAGAGTTAATATCTTGTACAGCCCCCTTTGGCAAGTATCACAGCTTGTAAATGCTTTTTGTAGCCAGCCAAGAGTCTTTCAATTCTTGTTTGAGGTATCTTTGCCCATTCTTCCTTACAAAAGTCTTCCAGTTCTTTGAGATTTCTGGGCTGTCTGTCACGCACTGCTCTTTTAAGGTCTATCCATAGATTTTCAATTATGTTGAGGTCAGGAGATTGTGAAGGCCATGGCAAAACCTTCAGTTTACGCCTCTTGATGTAATCTCCCGTGGATTTCGAGGTGTGTTTAGGATCATTATCCATTTGTAGAAGCCATCCTCTCTTTAACTTCAGCTTTTTCACAGATGGCATCAAGTTACCATCCAAAATTTGCTGAAATTTTATTGAATCCATTTTTCCTTCTACTCGTGAGATGTTCCCTGTGCTACTGGCTGCAACACAACCCCAAAGCATGATTGATCCAACCCCATGCTTAACAGTTGGACAGAGGTTCTTTTCATTAAATTCTGTGCCCCTTCTTCTCCAAATGTACCTTTGCTCATTCCGGCCAAAAAGTTCAATTTTAACCTCATCGGTCCACAGAACTTGTTTCCAAAATGCATCAGGGTTGTCTATATGTTCATTTGCAAAGTTCAAACTATGATTTTTGTGGTGAGGACGTAGAAGAGGTTTTCTTCTGATGACTCTTCCATGAAGACCATATTTGTACAAGTATCTCTTTATAGTGGAATAGTGTACCACAACTCCAGTGTCTGCCAGATCTTTCTGGAGGGATCGTGCAGTCAAACGTGGGTTTTGAATTGTTTTTCTCACAATCCTGCGAGCTGTTCTGTCTGATATTTTTCTTGGTCTTCCAGATCTTGCTTTAACTTCCACTGTTCCTGATGACTGCCATTTCTTAATTACATTCCGAACAGAGGATATTGACATCTGAAAACGCTTTGCTATCTTCTTATAGCCTTTTCCAGCTTTGTGAGCGTCAACTATTTTCAGTTTCAGTTTTCTAGACAACTGCTTAGAAGAACCCATGGTGCTGATTGTTGGGGCAAGGTCAGATGAGTCTGGGCATTTAAAACCTTTGAGATTGACATCACCTGGTCTTCCCAGACGATGATTGAGAACAATCCATGACACTGGCAGGTCTCAGCTTGGCAAAGGGGGCAGTGCATGCTATAAATTCTGCAGGGTGCCCAAACTTTTGCAGACGCCATTTTTTGTTTTCTGTTATTTTGAAAGTGTAAATGATGGAAATAAAATCTAACTTTTGTTGACATATTATTAGAATGTCTAATCTGTAATTTGATGCCTTTTGGAGATTTTTCCATCTTTCCTTGGCTTCTTTATGCACATTAATACAAATTTTTAGCTGGGGTGCCCAAACTTTCGATCCCCACTGTACATACACAGAAAGACACATGTACATACACACAGACACATGTACACACATACACATGTACGTACATACAAAACACACACACACGTACATGCACACAGACACATGTACACACGCACATCCATGTACATACACACAGACACATGTACATGCATACACACAAACACACACACACACACACACACACATGTGCACGCACGCTGTTAAGTGCTCTCTCCTCTCCCCTGAAGCCACCACTGGCTGACAGAGGATCATGTGACCAGAGTGAGCTGAAATTAGGTAGACACACACACCCATATAAAAAGTTGCAGTACTTTGTTGTTCACTCACAGAGCCAGGTACTGCACTCTAGGGGGAGGCAGAGGGCACAGCACACACTCCTTCCTTTGCTTTCACTGCGCTCAGCTATTGAGCAGTCTGACGGCTCCCAGTGCCAATGACAGATCCAGCCTGCTCAGCAGGACAGCCCTGGGGGGCACACTCGCCCCCACCATAATTTCCACTCGCCATTGAGAGCAGGCGAGTAGAAATTTCAAGGCCTGTCTTACACTGTATAGATTATGTCAATGTCTACATGGTAGCTATGGCTTCTATTTGCCAGAATCCCTCCCTCTTCAGGCCCTCAAAAAGGACATCCTGCCTCTTGCTCCACCAATGCCAGATGGATCAGACCACTTATTTCTAGCACCTACGCTGTTAGGAAAAGAATCTCCCCGTGTCCTATCAGAGCACATTCTAGCGCGTATATTGGTGTCTCTTCAGCTTTCAAGCATCTGCTTCGCAGATTTGCAAGTCTGCCAGCTGGTCATTATTCATACGTTTTCCAGGTGCTATCAGGCGGATGTTTTGGCCTCATCGAATGCAAGCTTTGGACACAAGGTGTTTTTTTTTTCATGTTCTTACTCTTGTTTTCTTGTGGGACTGTTGGCAGCCCTGTTTCCTATGTTGTTGCCCATCCCTTTATTCATTGCTTGGGGTTGTCCAATGGTCTGTGAATGCAAATCCTATGTTCTGTACTGTATGGCTGAGATAATGGGAATTTTGACTTGTAAATTTTTGGAGTACAGTACAAGACACAGGACCCTACCCTTTTTTTTTGAGTCTAGTGGAGTGGGTGGGGTTATCTGAGCATGCCATTAGGGATGGCCTCAGCAAAGTTTTTGCTGGTCTCGTGTCACATGAAGGTAGCCTGCCTATAACCCATGGTCTATAAATACAAGATAGGGAATTTGCAGTTATGTCAGAATTCCTTTTTTTAAATGTTCTATTTTCTGCAGTCTCTTACACCCTTATAATTTTTTTTTTTTTCTACAGTTGGACATTGTACAGCAAGAGTTTGTTCATCAGTCGGGGCTCCAGTATATGGATCTGGTCAAGGCAGCATTCAGCAGTAAGGGAGAATGGTTAGCAACTGTGGAAGAATTACAAGGAAATTCAGACACCCCTGATGTGCAGATGAAGCTCTGGGAATTTAATGATCAGCTTCAGAGGTAAACGGAAAAACTTAAATGAAAAATTATAATTAATAGAAATAATTAAAAGTCAGCGCTAAAGTACTTACGGCAGCCTGCAGCAAAAGTCAGTATACAAAACCCTTAAACCTAACATCAAATAATGGTGCAGCACCAATTATAAGTAGGTTCCCTCCATATAGGAAAAGAATTATCTTGTGAAAGGAAAACACCATCTAGTGTGCAAACAAAAAATCCAAAGTAAAAAAGTAATGAAAAAATCAATGAGAACAAATTAAGATTATTATTATTATTATACAGTATTTATAAAGCGCCAACAGTTCGCTCAGCGCTGTACATTACAATGTGAGACAGAACATGCGACAGTACGAAAACAATACAATGTGATACACGAGGGGTTCGAGGGCCCTGCTCTTTCGAGCTTACAATCTAGGAGATTAAACAAAGTCCACAAATTCCAATTGTCCTCTTGTGTCAGTGACTTCTACCTTTTGTGGATCCCCACTACCACTTCTGACCAACACCACTGCCGCACTCACCAACTCCAAAGTTGCCAAAGGAGAGCAATGCACAGCGCGTTTGTATCAAATAATCCCCAGATGCTCACATGAAGTCGCCATTTTACTGAGGTTGCCTTGTAGTACCACCTTATCACCGCCAGAGACAGTCAAGCAGCCTATTATAGCTGTATGGAAGAAAAGTGGAATCGCATTGCAGGATTATTTATAGTAGGGATGCACAACTTTTTTTTTTGAGTATGAGTACCAATACTTTCTATCAAGTATCCACTGATACTGATTGCCGAAACCTATTTTTTTGTGCCATGCAATTTGAGCCCATTCAAAATTAATGGGCTCAAATCGCACTACAAAGTATCAAACTGGAGCGGTGTTGGAAACCGCATGTGATCAGGACAGGAAGGAAGTGCGATTCCTGTTCGAATCACATAAGGTCTCCCTGTGGGTGTGGTGCCATTTGCAGTGCGATTTGACCCATGCAAAATGAATAGCTCATATCACGCTGCAAAGTATCAAACCGGAGCGGTGTGGGAAACTGCATATGATTAGGACAGTAATCGGACCGTATTCCTGTTCAAATCAAATGCAATCCTTTGCACTGCAATTTAAGCCTATTAACTTTGTATGGGCTCAAATTGCACCGCACAAAAAAGTATCAGTTTTAGGTATCGGAGCATTTGCACAAATATAAGTACTCGTGCAAATTCTTAGTATTGGCACTTGTATTTGCATCGGTACAACCCTAATATTATAGTGTAGTAGATTATTAAAGTTTTGATCTCTTTGCATAAAATCAGTTAAAAGCATCCAGATGCCAAATTGTCTGAGATTTTCTGCTTGGTACAAAGTGCGCTTAATATATTGGTCAACTCTGAGACTGAGACCGGAAATGACATTGTGCCGTCAGCGCATAGCTCTTCCCTACATGTTTTGTGCTACAGCACATCTTCAGGGAACACTAGTGTGCTGACATGAAGCGCATAATCCTTAGCCTGCTAACAGCCTGCTTAACACTGGAAGGTGCCCCATTTTCTTGTAGGCCTGAATAGCAGCAGCCATGATCCATCAGCCTTTGGGACTTCAGCACACAAAATGCGTAGGGGCGGAGCTACGTGCTGATGTCACGCCACCATTTACGGTCTTAGAGTTGGCTGCCATCTTTGTAAGTGCACTTTGATACAAATGCGCTGTATGCTGCATTCCTTTGACAGCTTTTGTATTTCAATTTTTTTTATTAATTTATAAACAGTTTAAGACAGGAGCAACAAAACACGCCCACACAATTGCATATGAAAAACAAAACCGTGCTCTAACACCAACAGAGCAAAAGGTGCGCCCACACAGGGGCTATCAATGGCACATAAATGACAAAAACATTAGTATAACACAGACAGCAACTTAAACTAAAGGCAGCTATCCACTGCCACACCAAAAACAAACAGAAAAAGAAATGGAAAGAGGAGTACAAAAGGAAAAAAATAACAAGGCCAAGAGCAGGGGTCTGAGACCGCCAATACCGAGTACCATCACAACCCCAGACTAGCCAGGGGGTGCGCGGGAAAGGCATATTGCAACCACGACTCTCATATTTTCAAGAATTTCCATTGAGAGTCGTTACAGATATTTGACATCTGTTCATTGAGCATCATAGTGGTGATACGGTCCCGCACCCCCTGAAGAAGGACAAACGGGCTCTTCCAGGCCTGAGCAATTGTTCTAGTAGCTGACAAATACAAATAGGAAGCCAACTTCTGCTGGTGAGCCAAGAGGCACGGTATGAGACTATGAAGCAAAGCAAAGCATAACGAGCATCCCGGCGTATGGAGAGATGGAAAAAGGTGAAAAGGGGGCTAAACACACGAGACCAAAAACCAAACCGTCTCGGGCATGACCTACAGATATGCAATACATCACCACGATGGCCACAACCCCGAAAGCATCGATCACTGCAAGCAGGGTTCGCCTGGGCCAAACGAGCCGGAACCCAATACCAACGAAACAATATTTTGTATGCCGCCTCCATCGTGGTCATATTAAATGAACATTTAGCTATAAGTGACCAGGCTGTATTCCAGTTCTCCAGATCCACGACTGCCCCCAGGTCGTGCTCCCACTGAACAACATATGAAAGAGAAGTATACGTCGAGCGTCTGTCCAATGCTGCATAAAGAAGGGAAATAAGGCCCGGAGCGCCCGGACGCTGTTCAAAGGCAGATTTCTGTTACGGGACAGCAGAAGTGCCCCGCAGTGAGGTCAGCCAATGCCACAATTGAAAATAATGAAAAAATTCCACCGGAGGGACATCCCGTGACTCCCGAAGTGAATTCCAAGTGGGGAAGGACCGAGAAGTCAAAAAGTGTCTCACCTGCGAAAAACCATTGGCCACCCACCAAGAAAACGCCCTTGATTGATCTAAACCCGGTGGGAAGAGAGGGTTGTTAATAATTGGGAGCAAAGGTAGGAAAGGTGACATCAGGCCACTGGAGTAATGTACTGAGTCCCACACTTGTAAGCCATGGAGCAAAATCGGACTCAGTGAATTAGGGCGCAGGGTACGGGGAAGCCATAGAAGCGTTGATGTCACAATAGGGCACAATTAGGTAGTTTCAGCAGGACCCAGAGGGGAACGTATGAGGAAGCGTGCACCATAGACAGCGGGGCAATCTGGCTCGCCTGATAATACTTAGTTACATTAGGCACCCCAAGACCACCCTGGAGTTTATGAACAAAAAGCATATTTCTGGAGACTCTGGGACGCTTATCGCCCTGATAAAATGCATAATCTTTGCCTGAATCAACCGACCTTTGGCAGCTTTGAAGTTGGTGAGTGTTACAAGTGGTGGTGTGGATCCATAAAGGCAGAAGTCGCTGACACAAGTGGAGACAGTTGGAATTTGTAAATGTTAATCTTAATTTTGTTCTGAATTGATTTTATCATTACTTTTCCCTTTTGGATTTTTTTGTTTTCACACTAGATGTTTTCCCCAATGTCTATATGAAAAGTACCTGTCACCTGATAAATGCAATTACACGGGGAGCTTGTTAACCCTTTGTGATAGCAATAAAGTTAAATATAAAACAATTTGAAAAATGTTTATATTCTATCTACAAATGCAAACGTGCACACACAGGGCACGTGTAGACCTCAAAGGCAGAAAAGCACTCACAGTATACCTAAGGCACCTTTTTCAACCAGGTTGCTTTCAGGTGTCTTCAGGGGTACCTTGGAAAAATGCTTAAAAATTGCACACAAGCCAGCGGATGGATCAGCCTGCCCTTTTGTGACACAAAGGCACAGGTTTTCATTGTGCACTACTACATCCTTCTAGCTGCCATTGTCCTAACAGCCAATGAAGTCACGGTTGATAAAGGGGACATTTGACGCATGCATAACATTCTTGTTTGCCCCCTACTCTGCCCCTCTCCATCAGCACTGGGATCACATTAGAGTGAGGGAGGGAAACTCAAGCAGAAGAGGAACATTGGAATACTTTGAGTACCAGTATACAAAGGTGTATTTTGCTTTGGAAGAATAAAGCACCTCTAATATTGGGTGTCCTACATTTGTGGATGTTGCTGTGTTATGTATAACTGTAAGTTTAGTTTGTTAAATGTTAGAATAGGGTGCCTCAAGATTTTGCAGAATTTTAAAGGGTGTCTTGACTATTAAAATGTTAAGAAACACTAATCTAAAGCCATTACATTTGTTTTTAGTAAGGAGTATGTAAACATGATAAAAGGTTTACACACAGGTTTACTGGTGGCTACTCCCCCTGCAACACACGGCCCAGTTTTTGCCTATCACTCAGGAGTGAGAATCTAAATGTTATTTTATACTTTCTTTTCTTACATTTTTTTTTTTTTTGTTCCAGTCAATGGATTTTTGTTTTTAGTCAACTGCAGAGCTGAGTGACAGGCTGGATACTTTATACATTCGAGTAGTCCCTCCAGTACAAAAGGGATAATAGGCGAATGGTGTAGCAGTCCATGTATGTTTGATGAGTTCCAAATGGGCAGGGGTAAAGGTAGTCCAGTAGGCACTAACGGCAAGCTGCGTAGGAGCGAAGCATAACTCTGCAGAAGGGAAACAAAGAAACACAGTGCCTCTAAGTGTGTACTGTGAAGGTATTTAATAGAAAGATAAGTAGTAACTCACATCTTAGAATTCAAAAACAGGCTCATGGGTAATAGGGCGAGACGTCTGTAGCCAGATGTTATGTGACTGATCCAGAGAGGCGATCGATTCAGTCCGCCAGCAGGAGGTGCTGTGCATGTGCAACACAGATGGTAAGCCTGGCGGAATCTCCAAGGTGTCCGCCGGCAGATGGCACTGTGCATATGCAGCACAGACGGCAAAACCCAGCAGTGTCTCCCAAGATGTCGGGGATCAGCACATGTGGCATCTGACGTCATCAAAATGCGACGCGTTTCTGAGCATGTGCAGGACGAGATGAGTCCAGGCGCGCTCTTTCATCAGGCAGGGAGGAGCTGGGGGTAAAG